TGCTAATGTAACCAAAGCATCACTTCACTTATTTATAGTAGAAATCACTGAACGTCTTATTGTTGCACCAATAAAGAGACTGAGACAGCAACATCTGGAACATCTGCTCTTTATTAGTTCACACATCTGCCGTCTATGACCTCTTGTCCTCTGGGTTTTACTAATAGTAAATAAATGTATACGGAGTCTCTACATATGAAGAGAGAAGGAAATCCTAAATACTCTAACGACGCTGATCAGCTGTTGCCTAGCAACTGATGCTACTTCTCTCATCTCAACGAGCTGAGTAACTCAGTAAAAAGTAAAAAACAGCAACCTTAGAGTTAACACCTGTGGAGAAATCCAAAGATGTTCTTTGTAAACCAGCTCTGGAGATGAAAGAGAGATCTGAGTTGTGTAAAAGCAATAAAAGAGCAGCCGTACCTGGTGGAAATGAACTTACCCTAAAGTTAGTTATTAAAGATCCTGAGACGTTAGGATGCTTGTGTAACACTCCTCCTCTCTTTAAGTTAGGGAGGGGAGGGGGAGGTAGTTTCTGATGTTTTCTCTGCTCGTCTATAAAACCTTACTAACTGTTTCCTACTCTGGATTAATAACATACAGTATTATGTACAACTGTGTGTAGGTCACCTGCGGCCTCACAACATCCTTTTCTCATCTGTCGGGAAAACCTGGAAAACCTGGAAAACAATTCCAGTTGTGGAAATTGAGAAACAGGACTTTCTGTCAGAATTAGTGATTAGTGATGAAGATGCTGAGCAGCGTATGGAGGGAGCAGCTGTTCCTGCAGTGTGATGTTTGAATGATGTCTGTGCAGAGTTTTCACATTCATCTGCTGAAATGTTAAAGCTTTAATAATTGGATCAGATTTCTCTCTCTCCGACCAGCAGGTGGCGCCAGCAGGCGGTTAGCAGCAGAGGATGAACCCGGCTGTGTTTTGTAGGATGTGAATAAATACACACACTTTGAGGCACTCGATAATATTTGTCAGCTGTACTGATTACATTGAGATTATGCAATGTTACAGATTAAAAATAAAAGTTACAACAAACTGAAACTTTAATCCCTAAAACACAAGATCCTACGTTTCCCATAATGCAGCTGGATAGTGTGTTTTCATCAGAGGCTCCCTGCAGCAGTGGAAGAAGTATTTACTACCACACTCACCCTCTCATCAGCAAAATGTTCTCAAAGTATGAAAAGTTAAATGTTCACTGAAGTTCTGACAACTTCCTGTTTCATGGCGATATTTGCAGTTAGAACAAGACCTATTTTACGACAAAGCGTCGATTTTCTAGGCCACGCCACGGACACGCTGTTAGTCCGAAACACAAGGTTTTAATAACTTCTCATCCTGAACGTCTTTAGTGTGTGCTCACAAACTTTGAAGATGATCTGATCTATCCATTAGAAGTACATGAAGGTATAAAGAATGTAATTTCCTGTTGTCAGTAGATGGCGCTGTGAGTATGACTGAGTACGCCACGCCACGGACACGCCCTTCGCCGAAAACTCAAAATCTTGACAACTTTTCCCCGTGAGGGTCTAAACATCGCACCGACCAAATTTGAAGTCTATCCGATTCATTCTCCAGGAGGAGTTGATTAAAATACGATGCCAGGAAATGGCAGAAACATTAAAGGGGACATATTATG